ATACTGGTTACACGGTCGATGCACACACTATATTAATCTTCGGTAGATGTTCGGTAGGTTCCGTGAGATGTACGCTGTACGATGGAATTTGATTTAATTTGTATCTCTAAACTAAGTGTACTCAGCGTTATAGCGCAATAGGGTAAATCACGAGTTTATAATCTAAGTGCCACACGTGTTTTAAGTTCGAGGCCGCGTTGTTCCATGTTTTTTTTCTTATTAATACTTTCAACATTATTGAATCTATATTTGATTATTTTTTGTTGTTTGTTTTTTTTATTATGTTTTACTTTATTTTGTTATGTATATACTATTTTTAGATAACATGTTTTAAAAAAACTCATGTTAGAATTCATGTTTAAAATTAAAACGGATTAAAATCAATAAATGTCTTTTCAATGCCGTAAAGCACACTACAAATCTGTTTCATTAAAATATATTGCAAAAATAAAGAAAGACTACTAAAACAATGGCAACAGTAAGGATCGAACCACAGACCTCTCAATTATCAGGCATTCTCTTTACCGACTGTCCTATTGTGAATTAACGAAAACATTTACATTAAGCTGGCGTGACTTTCAATCCGTGACTAATATACTCCACATTTATTCTCGTAAACTACACGGACCAAACCGAAGTGGGATCGAATATTTAAATGAGCCCTATAATGTATTCATAATTGACAGGTCAATAAAATCAGACTATAACAACAATGAAAACATGTATAGTAAAATATGTCATTGGTATTAATAGTAATTTGGAATAGTGAACATGAGCAAAACAACGATATTTTTATATGATACGTAAATATCAGTTATAGTATTACATGATATGTGAAACGAATAAGCTTTTTCAGTGTTTCAAAATGTGTAGTGTTAAAAACTTGATTATACTTGATGATATTTGGATTCTTATAATAATACTCTGGACTCAATTGTTTCCTTTTATTTCGAAACAATTTAAACGACATAATTGCATGATATTCATCACTAAGTGTTTGGCATTCTATTCAAATTCTTCCATTATATGGATTATTGTTATAACGGAGTAATTATACCGGCAATCTATGATTTGACGTACGAAATTTCAGAAGTGGTTAGTAAAACAGTCTTGGTAAATTGTAAGTTATTATTCACGTTTGTGCTGCTGCTTGAAAAGATAATATAGTTTACCTTTGTTTGATACTTGTAATTTTGCATTCCAGGCAGCGATAAACTGATGTAAGAGTCCTTGTTTAATTAAGACATGTATACTTTTGGAAGTTATGGAAGATTGATTCAAAAACAAATATAAGTGACCAGTATTGTTAAAAATTCTTAACAAATTCTGACCATCTAAAAGGATGTTCACTATGAACCATTATGTTATAAATAATACTTGAATACTTATTTTGATCGCTATGTATAATTAAATCCAAAACTTAATGATTCTGCTTGAATAATTATGTCTATGGGATGTCTACCCGTTTCACCATTAAACATATATAATGGGGTATTCATATTTCGGGTGCCGCGTCTATTTTACCCAAAGACCATAACTTTTGTTTTCTGTGTATTTATCTGGAGTTCCCATGTTTACAGTACAAATCAAAATTATTTAAACATTTTTTGAATTCAAGCGCCGTTGTAGCTAGTAAGATAGTGTCGTTTTACATTTACACGAGAACATTACTGAGACATTATTATTCAATTGTACACAAGATTTGATGCCGTCGTACATATTACGAACTATTCTTAAAACATGTTCCGTTTATTCCTGTATTTCTTAATTTCTGAAATAATTGAGCACGCGATAAATTATTTAAAGCACGAGAAAAATCGATTAATCCCACAAATAATTTACTCTTTTGTGATTTAAATAACTCTTCAAGAAAGTTAAGAGTGAAAACATGATCTAACGTGCTATGGCTTTTCCTTAAACCACACTGATTTTCGTTCAATAAACTATAAGTATCTACAAATTTTGTCAGCCTTTCATTTAAAGCGCTTGTAAATAATTTAGAAAGACAGGAAAGTATAGTTATTGGTCTATAATTTTCAGGTGAATAAGTAGAACCTTTGCCTTTGTAAATGGGAATTATGTAGCTTTCAGACCAAGTAGTAGGAATTAAGCCTGTTTCTAATATTTTGTTAAATAATTTAGTAAAAATTGGCAACATTATTATGTTTTGTGGATTTTATATATTCATTTGAAATATTGTCAGACCTACTGAAAGCTTTGTCATTTTTACATTTATTAATAACTTTTGAAATTTCACTGTTTGTGAATGGAAAATTTGAAATATCATTATCAAAGTTCATATTTGTATCATCATTCTTCATTGTCCGTTACTTTATCATGTTGATAAACTTTTTGAAAATACTCATAAAAATCTTTTATATCTGGCACGTAAGTTGAATTATTTTTTATTCAAAGAATTTAAAAATCTCCAGTAAGATTTCGGGTCCGAAGAATGTATAATACGTAGTTTTGATTCATTGATAAAATTGTGGCGATTCATATAAAATTTCATTGTACGTTTGTAATCGATGCTCGCACGGTTGAGTAACCTTCTATTATTAACCGATTTGTTTTGACTGAAATTTTTTCTGGCGCGATTGAAAATAACACATTTATTTCTACACCAGGGCCAATACCAGGGTTTATTTTTCTTATTATCAATTTGATTATTTTTATTTTTTATAAAAACATGCGAGAATTTATTTACATTAAAGATTACTTCAGCTGAATTTTGAAAAATGACAGAGATATTTTCTGTTATTCTGCCGAAAGCATTTTCTTGTTCGGATATCTCTGACGGGAACTCATTTAATAAATTTTCAACACAAAACACCATGTTTTGGTCAATGGTTTGTAAAAAAATCATTACGTTTATTGTCTTGCCACCTAGGATGAGAGATAGTTTGTTAGGACGCATTTTGTTGTGAAGTTGACTCCGTTTTATCGAAACTAAAACAAGTTGTAAGCAGCGAGTGTCCGTCGGAGTACAGACAGTCGACTTCAGTTATGCTGAAATCTATAAGGAAAGGCAGTAACTTAGCAGATGTTATAGAGTAATCAATTACTTATATATTTCTACATGTTGGCGCACCTTCTAAACTATCTTGGCCAAAACGACCATTTAAAATATACAAATTATTGTTTAAACATAGGTCTATTAACATTCTTCCAGTAGTATTTATGTTTAAATCTTTGAATACTCTTTATATAGGTATGCTTTGGTTTTGTAAAGCATAAGCTTGATTAAAAAAGAATTATCATGTCGTTATAAAAATCAAAATGACGTGATAAAAAATCATCTGGTTCGGATAAACCTTGTAAAAGACCGATATGAGCATGTGCATCTCCAGTTAATAGTACATGGTCATACATACTCGTATTACATGATTCAAAAATTTCATTTTCAAATCTTAACAACTCATCAGTTTTATTCGCAAACAGTGGATGGTTAATTAAATCCGTCTTCCAATCGGTGTGCTCATTTAATGATTTGATGATTCTCTCATTAACATTGAGGACTCGGGAATGTAAGAGTACAGTGTGCCAATCTGGAAATAAGTCTTTATAAACAGTGCCCTTTACTAGTATAGCTGCTGAGAATAGAAGCTTTACATTGTGGGCACCATGTTTGAAACGCAAGTCTTTAAATTTGGCCCAGAGAGACTTCCTTGCATTTGCAATATCACTGGGGTAGTCACGTGAGATGTCTATCATCCTTTTAATTACTTTGCTTGGCTTAGAATATAATGAACATGAGTTGCATCACTGAATGTTACCATTATACTACGAGGTCTCGGTGTTTCCTGTCGAGATTTTGGCCTCAAATACTTTCCCATTCATTGTTAATAACATATTAATATTTCAATAACATAAAGAATTAAAATCATGACGATAAAAAGGAGCAAATTGGTTTAATATTTAACATCATTATTTAACATCAACGATGATCTTTGATCATTTGATCTTTGCAGCGGAACAGGGATGTGTGACTCAATGCGTGCAATTCAAGAGATTCATCAGGAGCAAGAAGTTATGTATTATATTGTGATTTTGGTTTTAAATGATATCTGTCAATAGTTAATATAGAAAAATGTAGGAAATCTTTATCACGTTTCAGGACTTCTTCGCATAGATAAAAAGTAGTAACTGGTAGATGGCATAAACCTGAAGCCATTCCTTATAATGAAAGAAAATGTAATATTTGCTTAAAACTAGAAGATGAATTTCATGTATTAATAGAATGTCCACAGAACAATGTTTTGAGAAAACATCTCATAGATAAATATACAAAAATATATTGAATTCTAACATCTCAAAATGAAAATGTTATAAGAAAATTATCAATGTTATGTTTAAAATGATTGAATTAAGAACAAATGTTGAATATTCGTAAATTATAGTAGCTAGGAAGGTAAATGTAATGTTGATTTATTTATATCATTACGCAAACTATGTGCTTCATTTAAACCTTGCTGTAATACGATTATTCATATTAAACCAAACTTATGTCTCAAATATACAGTAAATGTTATATATATATATGTTATATATATTTAATGACCTTGATATTATGTTTCTGTTTGTATGTATGTATGTTTGTATGTATGCTGTGAACTCATTGGTATAATACCCACGTGTATTTGGAATTAAATCTTGAATCTTGAAACTCTATATATATATAGAATATTGTGAATTATGCGTAATAACAAACATAATCAAGATTAATTGTAAAAATGACCTTCTTGTACATAATTTACATTTGTATGTTGAAAAATTAATGTTTTAAAGAAGATCACTAGGTAAGTGGAATATGTACAAGTATTTTGAATAGGTCCACATTAATCTTGAAACCAGAATTATCAAACAGTTTAATGAAGCTGTATATTGAGAGGTTTTAACGACGGTGCATTATTAATAATGACTAGAGAGATATTAAAAAATAAGAATAATGTTGACAAAGATTCGTTACGTTTAAAAGATGAAGTAATCTATTATAATTGTTATTTACCTTTAATTGCACATGTTGGTATTTCCCAACTACCATTGTCAAGGCAACTAATTGTTGTGTGGCTTCCATTATATCCTCTTTCACAAACAACAGAAGCGTTTGATCCATACGTTGTTGTGGAAAAGTGCAAAGTACCATTGACCACCTTTGAAGGAATCTCGCAGTCTAAAAAATTATCAAATAGGGAACACAGAATTCCTAAAACACGTTCAAAATAATAAATTTGAAAAGTTGCAGGGTCCGTTTGATTGAGCCTGTTCATGGACGGTACTGGTAAGTGAAAGTCCTTTCATAAATATTTTGAATTAAATCTTGACGATAAAATATAATAAGATATGGGTGTTATATTCAATATATCTGTATCGGCGACAATAGATCTTGTGTCATGCAACAATATACAAAAAAGTGTAATTGATAACATGCTTGAAAAGTGCGTAATAAATAATTCGTGTGTTATTGAGATAAACTTTCCTTTTGATTCAAGATGGCTGTGATCTTGACATTAATGTCATGAACCAAAACTTATGTTTTGATTTAAGCCTTTACGCTAAAAGCCATCCTATGGCAAAAAAATGAGTAAGATGCTTTTCCCTCATCTTGAGAAAAAATGACGCAGATAAGTTTTCTTCAGAAATGAAGCAATTTTCAAAACCTCATACCGCCTTTTTATGAAATTGGTCAAGATCATGATGAAATTTGATTTAAAACGAATAAGACGCACGTTAGCAACAAAATTTCTTACATAGCTAACATAATAGTATTTCGTTAAAAAAAATGCACACAGAAAAATGATGACTGTTAAGATAAGAGAAAAGAAGTAACAAATAAGATAAACAGTTAGATGTCAATATGTACAGATATATATTAAAATAATTTCAATTATGTGTTATATGATATTTTAAGTGGTTATATTTGCTTTGCCTCAAGTGTTTAAAGCTTAACATTACATATCGGTATATTATTGTTAATATTCTGATCACAATTATTAAAGAATACCTAGATGGAAAGAATTCCTCAGTATATTTATTGACAGCGATTGGGACATGTGTGAAACTATCATTCAATTCACGAAAAACAGCTGACAAATAATTTAATCCGGGACATTTTATTCTGTTTCCGTATAATATATATAAATGGTCATGATTATGTTCAAAACCTGTCACAGGAGACAGCGAAGCTCGACTAATAAAATACTTGACGAAGTCAGGAAGGCAAAACTAAAAAAGAAAAATCAATTATGTATAATTATGTATTAAGTTATAGTATACGAATTACATTGTTAACATAAATTCCAAGATCAAGGGAGATAATTCTGGAAATAGCATTTCTTGAGTTATGAACTTTGTCACACAACAGGTGTGTAATGATAAGAAATATATATTTGAAGTTTGAAGTAGATACCTTAAAAAGTAAAGAAGTTATAATATTTCTTATATAAAATCCTAAGTTCAAATAAATAAATAAATAAATCTGTAAATACTGTAAATACTACTTCAACAGTTATGAACCTTGTCACATAAAATGTAATTGATGATAAGGAATAAGTATTTGAAGTTTGAGGTAGATGCCTTTAAAACTAAAAAAAGTTATAGAAAAAAATAACATTTTCAAGTAAAAAAATTAAGTTTATGGGCAGATAATTCTTGCAATATTGGTGTAAGAGTTATGAAACTTGTCACATAACATGTTGTTAATGATAAGGTAAATATATTTGAAGTATGAAGTTGATCCCTTAAGAAATAAATAAGTAACAGTAAAAATTAATATTTTTTAAGGAAAATACTTAGTTTAAAGGGATATAAATCTGGAAATATTAATGCTAGAGTTATGAACCTTGTCACATAAGATGTGGTTGATGATAAGGAACATATATTTGAAGTATGAAGTTCATCCCTTAAAAAAAAGAAGTAACAGTAAAAAATAGTATTTTAAGGAAAATTCTAAGTTCAATGGGGGATACATCTGAAAATATTGTTGCTAGAGTTTTGAACCTTGTCACGTAAGATGCGGTTGATGACAAGAAACATATTTTTGAAGTATGAAGTTGATACTTTAAGAAATGACAAAGTTATAGTGAAAAATATTTTACTGCACCAAAACATTAATCTGAAATCTGGACGTGGACGCCGACGCCTGGGCGAGTAGGAAAGCTTTCCATATACTTCGTATAGTCGAGCTAAAACTACATAAATTTACTGGTTTTCACTTCTACATACAACCACATGACAAACAAAACAACAGATATGCACACCCGCCTATATGACTGAAAAGCTGTTGGGAAAAGGCGTAAAATGAAACAAACAAACAAGATATGCACACTCACTGAGTGCAATAAAAATGTTTAAAAGTTGGGTAATATGTAATATTTGTACTGACTGACTGAAATTTGAAGTAGATACCTTAAGAAATAAAGAACTTTATATACAAAACAAACATTTTTTTCATAAACATTCTAAGTTCAAGGATAATATTTCTGATAATATAGGTGTTATTATTAAAAAAACTGCCATCAATTATGTGCGTGATAATATGAAGTAGCTTAAAAAAGAAAGAAATTATACAATTTATTTTCATGAACATTCTAAATTGAATGGGGGTAATTCTCAATATCTTGGCGCAATACTTAGTAACCTTGTCAAATATAATGTTGCCTATGAACAGAAACATATATTTGAAGTAGGAAATAAAGTAGTTATAGTGAAATTGTTTTACTGTGTTAAAAAATTTAATAAACCATCTGGACACAGCTCTCAACAAGCTGAAAGTGATTAATCTCAACACTGCTATCAATCCACATTTAAAGTTTCATAGATATGTTTCATTACTTTTTTATTTATCACAAATATTGTTATATATGCATACTTAAAGTCTATTTGTTGCAATAGCAACACATTGTTTCAACATAGGAAAAAGACGTGCATAATCTAAAGACTGACATCTATCCATATTTTAAGTTTCTATTTAAAACATCAGTACATTAAAATACATTACGCTAAAGTTCTAAGGGCTTTATATAGAACGAAATATGTAAACATTTAGATATACTTAAAACAGGTCATTAACAAACATTAAAATAAAACGTTATCAATGATGGATGGGATAAATATTAAAGACTTGTAACAATGACTTTCCATAATTTTACAAAGAAAATAAAAATGGGGATTCATTACTCATTGACGAGAAAAAAATAAAAAGGGAATAAAAGTTGATTAACTTTAAAATTTTTTTAAATTTTTCAGAAGTCATTTAACAGATTAAGTTTGTTTTTGACCATGGTATTTAAGCGTCAATAACCAAGAACAAAGTTATGTTTTTACTTTACAAGCGTAATTATCTCAAGAAGTTTGACTTTGAGTAACATGATTCTCTAAATCTTGAAGGTAACGTTGACGCTCTAAAACATTTCAAGATGTGATTACAAGTAATAACAAAAGATATAGTGACATTTCCATGTTCCAGATTCATAGTCATAAAAAACATCTTACTGTAACATCTCTTTATTGTTTATGTATTGTATTTCGAATGTTGAATTCACGATTAAAGGTAAAGAGATGTTCAACATTTATAGTCCATAAAGTGGCAATCTCAATCTAGTATAGCAAACATTTAGTACGTAGACAAATAATAAAAGAAAACATTATTTACGTAAGAGAAAAATGAACATACAATATGTCAAAGTATTATAAGCAGTTAGAGTTGAATTTTGACAGAGGTATTATCATGCGGTTTAATAATATGTTTGATATCAGATATTGAGAAGTTAATAACGGCTGTGCTTAATTGCTTAATGAATACTGATTTTTACCTATGATTTTGCATCTTGCTCTTTCCCATTTCCCGTTGTCTAAACAACTTATTTTCTCTTGATTTGGTCTAAAGCCAGGGCTACATTTCAAAGTCGCTGTTGCTCCCACCTTCGACGCTTTTGTTTTGTCAAGGGTGACCTTTCCATTTTCAATTTTTTTAACAGGACCACAGTCTGAAAATGTACAGAAATATGGTAAAAAATTAAAACATTAAAGTAAATCATATACATCCGCTTAAAATTCATAAAGTATATCGATAACATGATAATGCACGACGGTACTTATATACGGTTATTGGAAGGTGTCCTTTGAACATATTTCAGTCAAAAGGCAAACGTCAAAAACACTCATAAAATCATTTTAAATAATTAGAAATTGGCTAGCCGCAGTGACCAGTTAATTGCATTATTTTCTCACCCCCTCCCATATACCCCCACCCACATTCACCCTTTTACTCGCATATGTGCCCGTTTTAGTTTTTATCATTTCACACATTATATGTCCCTCTCCTTTCGCCGCCCTTACATCCACTCCCGGTTTTGGTTTGGTGCCCTGCTCGGGTGTGTCAGGGGCTGCGTCCTGTGAACGTTGCCTTTGCCTTGTTGATCTTTTTTCTTGTTGTTTTATTATATTGCAATAAGTTAAGTGACAAAACCATATAATTCAATTAACAAATTATGTATACGTTCGAAGTGATACCAAACGTTTTTTAAAACCTTATATTTTGTAGGAACAACGAAGGAAGTCAATGAATTCATGTCATACAAGGTTGGCATATAATTTGGAAATATTCTTATTTCTCAGGTAAATAGAAAATAGTAGTTTTCAAAAAAAGTATGACATACTACAAAATTTCAGGGAAAAATTTGGTAAAATAATTCTGCTTCATAAATGTGTGTCTATTAGCGAGGAATACAGGTGAAGCTGCAATTACTTGTCAAGCTATCTAAAGTGATTTGCTTTTATATTTTGTTGTTCCAATATAAAATAGATCCTTATATATCCGACTTGTTTGTAGAACGTTTGTGATTCTACTAACATTGTGCATACTCTGTTTAATCCAAATCTTTAAATATGTAATCACATTTTCTTCAATATTGTACGAGCATACATTAACAGTTAAATACATTTTGATTGAATTTTCATTCAACGTTTGAACTACAAAGTATTAATGTATTGTTTCACATACTTGATAGATGATTTTATACAATTAGTAAGATATTGTTTGAATTTATTCAATTTTGCTCATTAAAAATGTATTATGAGTCATATTTCCTTGTATTTCTACATATTGGTAATTTATGTTTATCATATACCTCTTGATTCATATCTTCGATGAATTCATTAACAAGAAATCACGTAATGACTCGAAGAAATGGAAAAAAGCGCAATGTTTGTGAGAACCATTTAGCTACAATTATGTTGTCATGAAATGTGAGACCAAAGTTGGAAAAAAACTGATTAAGTATGCGATGGCATAACTAAACAGTATGCTCCTCTTCTTCAAAAGATATTTAAAACAATTAAACATTTTCACATTTTGCAAACAAACATTCTGTCGTAATAACCCCCAAAAGTATTTACATCTTCTATATTTGTAATTGTTAAAGTTGTTTGACTGGTACCTGTCTAACATACCTTACATACAATACTTAGTAAATAACATAGACAAATTATAAATGAGAAAGGAAAATCAGACATTATTTCCAGTATAACAAGGATAAACAAGTAAATCTTCACAAATGAACCATTAAACATTTTAATTATATTTTTAATATCATATATTGAGAATAATAGTTATTAACGTCCGTAAATAATTTGTATCTTATAAACAGTGAACATACCTTTGAGTTTGCATCTTGCTGTTTCCCATTTGCCGGTATCTAAACAAACTATTTTCTCTTGATTTGCTCTATAACCAGGGCTACATTCGACTGTCGCTGTTGCTCCATATGTCGACATTTTTGTTTTGTCAAGGATGATTCGTCCACGTACAATGTTTTTAACAGGACCACAGTCTGACAATGCATAAAAATATGGTATAAAATAAAAGCATTCAAAGCAGATCACGTTTACCCACTTAAATTCCATAAAGTATTACGATAACAAGACAATGCATGACATAACTTATGTACGATAATTAAAGGGTATCCTTTGAACAAACTTCAGTCAAAAGGAATAACGTTTAAAACGTTTATATAATTATTTTAAGTCATTAAGAAATGACCGATCGCAGAGACCTGTTAATGACCATACATTGCTATGAGTAATGGTACAAAACAAAAGAACTTGATTCTGTTAACAAATTATTTATACATTTGAAGTTTTATCTTTTTTATTATTATGTTACTCTTTAAAAATGATGGAATCAAAGGAATTTTGAAACCCAATGCTATATTAGGAATATTTTCATTTCAAGACAGTGGGTATTTTTTCCCTATAGTTAAATCCAGGAAATTTTTATGAAATAATTTGATTTTTAAACAACAGACATGGTAAGTCTTTTTTGATAAGCCTGGATAAAGGTAAACTAAGTATTGTTTAACTTTATTAGAAAAATAGATTTAATCTTGTTTCCCTTTTCAAAAAACACACGATTTAATCATTTCATTGTTATATATTCATTGGTTTTGATAATTATTAATAATTTCCCAATTTTTCCTGAGAAGTTTGTAATAGTTTTTTCAATATTGTTAATACATCACAAGTTTAGATTTATGAGGAATTTTCATTTAAAGATTGTATAAAAAAAGTAATATAATTATTAGAAGATAGAAAACGGTCTCATTAACAAAGATGTGGAGATCTATTTTTATCATTTTACCAAAACATTTTTTTGATAGAAACAAGCGGGATATTTACTTTACTTTAAAAGGGTGATAAAATAACGACTTTGTACACTGTTCTTCCTATAACTAATCATAAAACTGTTTAAAATGTGATAAGATGTTATTCAAATTCATTTAATACCATTTCAAATCATTTTTGGGATAGAGTTATGATTGTTTAACACTCTCATTCCTTTTACTTAACACTTATCACGGTCTGAAATGCTAGCTATACAAATTCTTTCAATACCATTTAAATTATTTTCGTGATAGAGTTCTTTTACACTTCACTTTCTGTCTCCAGTCTAAGAAAAAGTTTCAATATTATATCATTGATTAAAAGCAGTTACAATCGGACAATTAATACTATCATAATGGGAGATTATAAAAAAGTAGGAAGACTTCCTTTCACTGATATCTATAATTATGTGAAATTAAATCAAATTTCGTTTAATACTTATAAAATAATTCTCAATACAAACATTGTCATTCAGTAGGAAAATCATTTTTGATGGTTAAGAAACTGTATGCAGGACAGTTATTTTTTTATCTTATAGGCGATATTGAGTAAGTGTATCTTAAATACTGATTACTTTAATGAACGAGTTGAATAAAATTATATTGTGCAAACATCTGGCGAGGATACCATTATTTCATTCAACGAGTTGAATAAATTCAGTAATGAATTGAAACGAATTAAATATTCTATTTATCACATTCCCAAAGTAAAGACCGTTTTAAGAGTCTATTTTATTCATTGACGCGCCTATAATATAACGGTTATATTTAACGCATCTTACACTATGCTTGTATAACGCTAATGACGTCATGTCAGAATATATGCACGGCCGTACAAACCGTTTTTAAGGAGACGCAAAATCGGCCCGGGTATGTGATAAACACCCTTAACTGAATGAGTACTTTGTTCACAATGGCTGTTTTCATTGAAATCCTCATGATACAAGTTTAGATTGCTATGAAAATATAAAAGGTAGTTTAATATTCACCAAACTTGGCACCAGTGTTGACTGCACCATGGCCTTTATAACGGCAAGTTCAATTTTACATTTCCTGTTAATATGGCAATTAAGGGACATATCGGACATATCAAACTTGCCAAAATATCACTATGTTGCGTTGAATTTTTCCATCCAAACTGATTTCAAAGTGCTGCAACTTCTCAATGGATTGAGATACAGGCAAAGGCTTTTTAGCATTGGTTACTTGTTACCTTCTGATTGACCTGAGGCTAATTTTAGATTCTCACAGGTCGAAAATCTTCTTGGCGATGACAGGGGGGGGGGGGGCAGGTGACCCCTTCAAACTCCCAAACAGAAAAGGGCACATCACCCATCTGGCACCCCCTACCCCCTGATGTATCACTCTGTTTGGGGCGGCGCCGAAAGTATGATCACTTTTTCCTTACAACATTTCTCCAACAAAAACAAGTGTTTGGGGCCCAAACAGGATTTTTCACTATTTGAGGCCCGAAAGGGGGGAGCGTTAATATGATGTACAGGATTAAGGGAAGTTATTAAAAATTATGCAAGTTACTCTGCCAATCCTCATACTGGATTTTCCAGATATTTAGAGATTCAACTACATGTCTCTCATAAGAAAAGCGTGTATAATGACTTAAATATCAACTTTAGTCATATAACTGAAAAATGTCTATCAAACTTTTATGCACTTATTAATATCCTTAAACATATGATATGAAAGCAGTTTTTATCATTTTTGTCATGTCTTTATGTGACTTTAACACAATCTTTAAGCGAAAAGTAAGCAATTGAAGTTATATCTTATAATATAACTACCTTTAGGCACAAAACTTAATCTTATTTCTTTTTTAATTAAATTTAAAATAAAATATCTACTGTTTTGACAAATTACGTTGACTTTGGACGTTACAGTATGTCAGTGGTACCTTTGGTATCTCATCATTACACATTACACTGTTAAAGGACACAAATCATGCGAATTATGAAAGAAAATGAATTACTGTTTTCATAATTTTAATAGAAATCAACATTGATAAAACTCTAAATTTCAACCTGTTCATATGGTAACCCATGCTTTATTTTATAGAAACAACATGGCATATCATCAACTAACCTCTGTGACAGCCTATTTGCTTGTCCGATGCATGGCTGTTTTTTCCAAAGATATATATAATTTCTTTGAGTGAAATCATATATATCAAGACATTATTATTATAATATAAAATTTAATTTTACCTTTTTTTGCGCAAATGGATTTTTGCCATTCACCGGTTTTTAGGCAGACAATTTTCTGCTGACTTGCTACATAACCAGGATCGCATTCAATAGTCGCCGTAGCTCCAATGGACGTTTTTGATTTTTTGTCGAGAGAAACCTTTCCATTTTGAATGTTTTCGACTGAGCCACAATCTGCAAAATGTTTTTTAAAATCTCCAAATCTCACGTAGTTCAATTTATTTCATTACAATAGCACGATGTAGAAATTAATAAAACTGGAAACCTATAACTAAAATGCAATTTACCCAAGGTATTTTTTATGGAACAGTCTCGACTGAAATATATAATTTTGGTTTTGAAATAAAGTAATCACTTTGAAGATATGTTTGTTTGTTTGTTTGTATTGTTGTATCTTATTATCATTTTTATATTAGTTTTGCTTCACTCTGGCTCTTTACCACCTAAAATGCGAAGTACCTCATCTAAGACCCCACAAGCTCAAAGACAGTATGAAAACAAATAAAGGTGATAACATCATGCACTTTTTCACATCAGTTCAGTTAAAATGTAAGTTCCAGAAAATAATTTAAATATTGTTACTCTGATAAAAACCTTTCACGCTGTTATATCTTATATTGAATCGGCATCTATATTTTCTCAAGGTTAAATATTTTCTTTTGGTCTGCTTTAAAAACAGTATCACATTTAACAGTCGCGGATGCTCCTGTCAATGGTTGAAAGTCTTTCAAATGTCACTTTTCAATTTTGATATTTTTCAACAGGGCTGCAATCTGTAATTTGGTTTTTCCTTACACACCAAATCTAACAAATTCTAACAGTTTCTTTATAAGTTATGTATGATATAAGAAACACAGTACTAAAAGTACTTAATTAAATGGGGAAACAGATCCGAAAAAGTGAGAAAACATTTGTTTTATACAAAAAAATGTGATTACTAAGAAGTCTTTTTTGTTTCTCGTTCGGCTTTTTTCACAATCTACTGTATTGGTGTTTCATGTATTGAGAAGTTAGAATAGTAAGTGGTCAAATGTCAAGACATGAACCTTGTATGAAAGAACAGTTTCCTACCAAAAACAAAAAAATCCATAGGCCCTTAACCCTGAAACTTCAAAGGTACATAATTATGTCTTTCCCAATGAATGCTCCATTCAGTCAATGTCACATTTGTCTTGCAATTAAAATGGTTTCCGACCAGTATCACGTTGCCCTATGGTTCCGAGACTCCAATTCTTCACAGGTGCATTGGTCATGGCAAGTTGATGACCCAAATTATTTTTATCAAGGGGTACCAGTCGGGCTTTTCCATACATGAAGATCATGTTTTTTGTCACTTTTGTAGAGGTCAACAAAGGAATGCTACACACAGAACATTTATACTCTTGGCACTTTAGTTTGACACAATAAAATTCATATAAGTATATATTAACTACGTGACCCCTTTCCATTGGTTAAAAAGAAAGCTGGCTGAATACGAAATTGCTAACAGACAGACTTACATACAGACAACCAGGTGTATAACAATTGACGCTGCAATCGCACGAGCGTATAAAGAATATACACGAATTACTTTGGTAATAATTTCCTATTATTTAGTACCAGAAAGAAAATCTTCATTCCGTCTCTATGATGTACAATATCACAATTTCAAACAACAGGAGTATTAAATAGTGATATATACCCAAAATGACCGTGTTTATCCATCTCACTTGCGGTTTTATGACCGCATATGAATAAAGCGATGATAAGCAAGAATCTGATGATGCAACTGTTAGTCCTTGCAACATAATTTTGTTTTTCTTCGATCCAAATATTGGGTATCCCGGCTAAAATTATAAAAAAAGAATGCAGATATCAATTTCTTTGAAATGTAATTTCAAAACAGCAAGACCAAATCAAGAAGGGATTTTGTAAACTTGAGCAGGTGAACATTTTCGAAACAAATTGAAATCCCAACGCACCCTTATCATTCCTGCCACAAGGCAAGGCACATAAAAGGAATGGCATTATTCATATGTACGTTGAATCTAACTTATAAGGTTTTTTATTCTTGTTGCAAACTAAACTTAAAGCTATGTTTGCATGCAACGTCTTTTCTTTTCGCTTGAATGCATTTTATAATATTTCAAAAACATAAGAGCAAAATCTTGCTGTTTCCTTAATTAGTTTGTCAATTCTCGTAAATAATGTAAAAGAAGTGTCTCTGATATTCAAATATTTTTACGTTAACAGAATGAAGCTTCTTTGAATACGTTAACGGTTTCACCGTACATGCGTCATTATCTTCAAAAGAAATATATAACTATATATATTTTATATAATCTGCAGGTGTTTATTTTTCCAAAATTATTTTACAATATTTGTTTACTGCATGCATGTAGCTTTTTACACTTTAAAGTGTCTAATTTATTCATTTATTTAATAACATAATTGGATAAATCGTACTATATACTGAATGTTAAGACATATTTAAAAGAAGAAAGTTAGAAAGTAAAAAAAAGTTTCATAAAGAGATATAAATCATAACAATTGAACATACGAAACATTTAGTAGTTTTGCTCATGTTGACTTGAAAACATTTGTGTGTCTCTCCAAAATTGCCTTCAATGCCTTTCTCCACACATTGATTGCCTCTGACAAAAATAACATCATTTGCAGTAACTTTATCTGTAATATCAAAGCAATAATCGGCTTTAATAAATTAATGAAAGTAGTATAAGCAATCTAAATATTCGTAGTATAGCTTTACTGACGTATGTATTAAAACAGACTTTGGTTATATGATAATAATTGTACATTATGAACAAACGATATCTAATCTGAAAGCAATATTTGTCATAAATCAATTTCGTTGTTTTAACTAATTAACAATTTTGGTATTGGTAATATACACGTTAAGTATTTAAAAGAAAACGACCACCGATGTAATAAAATATAATAACATGAACCAATTTACGCAATTTAATACATATGCAATAAAAGCAACAGATGTCATAAGTGAAAAGACAAACATGTTTATACATAATTTGATTCTTACATTCATTAATTATAAAAACACAAAACCATATGTCAATAAAAAGAAAAATACCAATACATTAGTTCATGTTTACATAATATAAATTTATACTACCAGTAAATGTGTATTATTGGACTCGTGGTAGCAAACATAAATCAAAGTTTACATTTACATGCACAGGGCCAAATATTTCAAAATATGGTGCTTCAATAGCTTTAAATTGTAATAGATTTGCTCATTTGAAAACAAAATATTAGGCACCGAATGATCGTGGTTGAGTTTACAACCTTGGGATATAAAGAATATGTAAAAGGATTCTCGAGTCGGTTAATTAGGCCTTTGAATAATCATTCTAAAGGTAAACAATGCTATGCTATTTTCTGGATTAATAGTTGCATATTGTAAAAAGAATTAAGGTAGAAAAAAAAAACAAATTCGCCGACGACAAAATAGAAAGCGCTCGATACTTCTATCATATCGGTATGTTCCCAATATTTAGATTACTTAGGCTGACGATTTGTTTCACGATCTTCTTTTAGAAACAAATGTCTTTCAGACCGTATATGTCACGAAATGTATTTGTCACACGTGTGAAACATATTCGGCCGAATGAATCACAGCTTTCTTTATGTGCCAAATGCGTTTCTGCAATTTGGTAGTAAATGCCTGACCGTTTATGTCACACAATTTATACAGTAAATCAAATATTATCATCATCGTCGTCACTAGCGGCAGCAAAACCTTGCTCTCATCAACGTCAACGATACATCATCATCTTAATCATCATCATCAACAACAACAACAACAATACAACATTATCATCACCACCACCCAATATACAAATTTAGAATATTGGCAAACTCTACTAATAAAGTGAATAAGTATTTTGAATGAGAGTCAAAACATCTTTTTTCTTCAGATTTTGCTATGGCAAATTAATTCATTTCAAGAACTTCTATCTTCAGGTGATAAGCTGCTAACATGCTTTAAATCCAGTCTTACAGCATTACAGACAAGCTTTGCTCTTTTTAAGAAAAAAATGTTTAAATAATGTGCATTTGATATCTATAGATTTGAAAATCAACTTTTATGACGGCGATCTTGGATGAGGTATTAAGATTTACTTTTGTTCGTCCGTTCCTGTGTCTGCGCATACGTGCTGACGTCCATCCCAAATGATTGAGTGTAGCATAGATCCGATGGTAGTTTAACTAGGGTCATGAAATATTGGTCAGCTTAAGTGCACCTACGGTTTGGCTTGTCGATTCGGGCAGGAATGCCAGAATAATTGCCTCTTAGTTATTTAAAATTGCAATTCTAAACTTGGGTCGCGTGTAGCTCAAACAATACTTTAGCTTAGGTCATGAAACTTTACATGAATGTTTGTCAGCAATTGAATTGTTAAAGGGGAACGGTGGCCTAATGGTTACGGTGTCTGCCTCTCAACCCAGGGAACATGGGTCTGTGCCCTAATTATGTCACTACCATGTTTCTTCATACGACACCAATACTGGTTGGTTCCAGGAAGAGTACTTGAAAGTGATTAATGTCAGTTGCAAGTTCTTGTTTCGTAATCGAGCTTAAATAAATATGTTTAAACCAAATGATTTTTTTTTCAACAGAGGGGTTTGCTTGTCATTTTCCGTAGTAATACTAGAGTTTTTGTCCTTCAATTTGTCCAAGATATAAATTTTCATCTGCGGTGAAAATACACGTGACATAAACGTTGCTAATTTCATTTTATTCACGATTCGGAAAGTGACAAAAAAGGTTTTAATGAACATAGAAAACTAAATCCAATCGAATATGGTAACTAAATCCAATCAACCGAATATGTCACACTTGTGTCATTTTCGAATCAAATTCGTCACAAGAATGGCACATTTTACCTCTTACATGTACGTCCGACAAACGTTAGTGTATGACGCGTAATAAATAGCTTGCGGGACGGATAATCTAACTGGGCTTGAAGCGGGCGTTAGAAGGACTATTATTGAAACAAACCTACACCAGCTGTTTGCCTTGACTTGAGCGATGTGTTTGATAAACTATCGATATGTGTTGCTAATGTGTTAAAGGATGTATGCTTGGTTGGATAAAAGAATTTCTAGCAACAAGATCTATTCAAGTTACACTTAATGGCTTATTTTAAGAAATAGTAGTGACAGTAAATGGATGCCGAAAGAAAGTGTCTGAAATCCAATAATCTTTAGGTTGATTATGAACACCTTAAGCGAAACAATGGAGAAATGTAATGAGCCAAATAAAACAATAAAGAACACATTTAACAATTGTTTTTAATGATTCGTCTTCTAGATTATATCAAGATCAAAAGAACTGGCGGTCAAAAAGATGCTGTTTAAACTTTATCTACTCGTGTTTTGTATAATAAACAGATACAAATCAGTTTATTAAAATCACAAAAAGGTCGGTCCAAGATCAGAACTTGCAACTTCTAGGTGACAATTCCGTAATAATGCAATACCATTGTAAAAATTACTCTTAACAAATTACGGTAACAAACAAACAACATCTTGTCTCAGTATAATATTGCCAACAATGCCTATTATCAATTTAAAACGGAAAAGTCTATTATTACTCTAACGAAATCAAATAAAAGTATCTTTTGCTAAGAAAGTAGTACAATTAATCAAAGACTACAAACTGGACGAGACAAACCGTGCTGCGAAACAGTAATAATTGTATAGACTAAACTTGTAAAATAAATAAAAGTAGCATGAATAATGAAATCTTAGTAATGGTCAATTTACATATTTTTAGAATGTATTCAGATAATTTTAACATTTAATCAAATTGCAAAAAATAATGGTTATAATGGTACAGCAGATGCGGGAAAAATTGAATAAGCCAGGTTTGGAAATATAATCGAGGAAACCAAAATGAAACAAAACATATTCGCATCTGTTTATACATAGGAACTGACCAAAATCCAATTAAGAGGTACAAATAAAACTAGGAATGTGACACTTGTGGTCCCACACTCCATCGAATTGTCAATCGTATGACTCTAGGTCAAATATTTTGGGCTCCACGTGACACAAAGTGAAAACTAAAAATCTTTTACTAAGTCAACGGCAATAACTTTACAAATACTGAATAAATCCTCAAGCAAACCCAAGGTGCATAAGAACACATGTTGTCCAACATTCTTGTAAACTTTCAGGCCTACACGTCCAATACATTTTGAGCTATGCATGAACAATTTTAAATTTATATTAAATCAAGGGCAATTATTCTAACAAAACTGAAACAAATCTACATGCAAAACCCCAGGTGCACAGCTTCACAGAAATGTTGATCATTATTTCTGTAAAGTGGTTGATTCTAACTCAAGCACTCAAGGAACACAACATAATGGAACGGTTTTTACTAAGTAAAGGGCATTTACTCCTCAAACACTGCATATAATCCATAATCTAACCACCATGTGTACAACAACGCACGCCAACCATCATTTTCTACAGTTTCACTAATTAAGGTCAAGTACATTTTGAGTCACACAAGACCCAAGTTGAAAACTGATTTTCTGTATTAATTCAATTGGCAATAACTCAACTGAGTGACTGGATAAAGCCACAAGCGAAACCCAAGGTACACAACTACACTTGCTGACCAAAATTCCTACTAGGTTCCATTACTGTAGGTTAATACTTCTTGTGCTGCGGTCAACACAAATTGAAAATTGCAAGATTTTATTTAGTCAAAATGCAATAAATCGGACATAAAAGCAAAACAAAATCATATGAAACCCCGTGTGCACAACTGCACATGCTGATTAATATTTCTGAAAAGTTTCATGACTCTGGGTCTTTTTAAGGTACTAGCGACACAAAATGAAAACGGACGGAAGTGCTTACATTTGGGGTTTATGTGCTGTTTCTTTGACTTTTATGTGGCATTTATCTACATAAACCAGTGAAATTATCACATATTAAACCAGTCGTTTATTGAATTTCCTTCCTGTCTGTTTTAGACTAGGATAATGGAAGAAATGAAGCTCATAGACATTTTTATGTTTGCCCTGATGAACGGACGTACAGACGGACGGACAACAGTAAATCTAAATGCCCATATATTGAAAATTATTCCGAATTTAAAAAGGAAAATCTTTAAGTACAATGTAGCAATAGTATGAAATCCTAGCCATGTTTTTTGTTTGTTTGTTTTGGGTTTTACGTCATATCGACTCAGTATAGATCATATCGCGACGTTCCAACTTTACTGGTGGAGGAAGACCTCAGGTACCCTTCCGTGTATTATTTCAGGCACGAACAGGCACCTGAGTAGAACCACCGACGTCTCGTAAGCTAGCTGGATAGCTTCCTCACATGAAAGAATCCAAAGTCCCTGTCGGGATTTAAACCCCCACAGCGGTAGGTCTTTCCGAAATGAGCGAGCTGATTAATGCTCGAAACTGGCAGTTACGGCTAAAATGTATTACACATAACACTTATCATGAAAGAAACATACAGCTTCATAAGTAGAAACATAACAGAAAAGAAGGAATATTGGAATATAAATAGTATAGAGATAATAGAAATCTGCCTTACAAACTCATCCCATATTAATGTAAAAGAAAAACATGATAGAATATATTCACGCCTAAAATTAGATAACTCAAGATTAAAAGGGCATATAACAATTGTATTACATGTAAATAGGCGAAAACATTGGAACATGTACTTTTTCACAGCGCACAACTCAAAGATATAGAATCATCCATATTTGAACTTGAAGAAGAGTGAATAAACAAGAAGTATGCATACTTTTTGATCTGCCACATAAAATAGCTGGCCAAATTCGTACCTCAGTATTTAAGTTCATAAAAGACAGTGATTTTATTAACAAAATTGAAAAATGAATTATAAAGCAAACAAATGCATATCACTTAACATGCTTATATAGAAATATACCAAGATAAAATTTCTGAAATAGTTACTTTTAAACAATACAGAATTGTTTTTCTTCAAGAAAATGAAAAGTGACTGCCGCTTTGTTTATAATGCATAGGAATTGATGAAATGTCGTATACACTCAGAGGCACTTATAACCCGACACTGACATTTTTCTGTATAAATAGGTTTTTTTGTGAACGGATTTTGTTCAAATTTGGACTTTACAAAATTCAACATATCATACTTACTACTAGGAATTATATCAACAATTCATTGATATGAAAATAGAAAAAAATAGCAAAACAAATAGGCTACTGTAAAATGAAAAATCACAAAATGACTATAAAAATCGTAAAACAATGAACAGTATCTGAATCCAATTAAATCTGTATGTTTACCAGTTCTAACACTTAGTATGGCCTCCAAATTGGCTATAACAAAGTAAACACCTCTGTCTCACAGTTCTTTATTCCTAAATAAGGGCTTGCTCGTGTTCCAGAAAATTGCGAGGAGCTTTCGGCCGCTTTCTCATACGCCTGTTCAATTCAGCCGACAAATGTGATGTTTAGATCTGGTGATTTTGGATGCAGGACTTGCTGGAACTCGAGAAAGCCCTTATTCCAGAATGGATAAATATTCCCCAAGCCTTCACTACGTCTTTACCATAAGACAGGTGTTTATACCCTTGTTATAGTAACAGAAACTTTTAGAACTGGTTATTATTCAGAATCAGTTGGATTTAGAGACTTTTCATTGTGTTACGATATTTACAGTCATTTTGTGATTTTTCATTTTGTAGTTACTGTAACATATTTGTTTTGTTATTTTGTCTATTTTCCTGTTAATAAATTGGAAGTAAAATTCTAGATAAATAAGAATATATGTTGAATTCTATATGTTCAAAAACTGAACAAAATCTGTTCACAAATAACCAAGTTATACCCAAAAAATGTAAATGTCGGGTTATAAGTGCCTCTGAGTTTACAGACGTTGAAAATTAATGTATCAAACTTCAACCTGATAAACCGATTTAAATATTCTTTAGCAAATTGGAATGTTGAGAAAAGAAAGAAATGATGGCAATGCAATTTAACAACCAAACAATTTAAAATTTACCGGACTCATCCTTACTGTAGAGCTGATAATCGTAGTCGGGTGAGGGCAATCTTAAGTTAGAAAGTTTTGCAAATTTAGTTTTTGTTTCCTTAGTTGTCTTAATCCGAAGAAAAACGAATTCTTCGCCAACGGAGTCCTGAAAAATAAGATATTAATATTTTGTCATTAGCTGCTTAAACATATATTTTTGAAATTTGATATCTGATTTGATATTGACTAGAAAAAGAGACTTAAGACATATTCACCACACATTTTGAAAACAAATAGAATCTACAATGAAATTTTTTACTTAAAAAAGAAGTTTAACAGTACGAAGGACTTCAGGGTCTGAATGTCTTTGTGTTAAGGACCGTGGACATAAGCGTAGTTTGAATTATTAACGTTCAAAACTCGTCATGTAAGGAAATAAGTTATGTCATTGTATAAAGTACTTTCCATTTAACTGCTGCTGTAATAGAATAATAAAGTCAAGTTTGATATGAAGTATTTTTCATCATTGATTAAAATCGTTCTTAGCTGAAATGTTTAATTCTCAACGAAATTGCAATTAAATTATGTACAATGCTAGAAAGTAAATAGTTCATATCCATTTCATGTAGAAGGACAGATTATCGGTTTTTTTTTAACTTTGTACAATTTTCTCGGAATTTTCTTAAACTAACACCACACAATTGAAGTACCGTTGTGTAATAGATGGTTTGTAATACAATAAATAATTAAGTATCAGACAACAACAAATGCCGAAATTATTATTTTTGGAAGTTGTTGCCAAGTTTGAGTTACATGATCCGATATTATATATATTTATTTAGCATATATTAAAATGTTCTAGAACAAAATATCATTATTTATCATATAAATGGTGATTATAAATCAACAAGAACTTTATCAACTTTATTTTTCTAACAATCATAATATCCAAAATGTATCCACAAATATGAAAAATGTGCGCATTGTAGACCTATCCACTTAAAAAAATATATTGTATAATGCACATATAATAAAACTTATCTCACTCACCCTGTCTTCAGCAATGACCTGTTTTGAACCATCTTGAATTTTGATACTATACTTTCCGAGCTTGCTAAAATTTCAAAGAATAAATAACTTTAACATTTTAAACAGACGGGCAATTTTGCATACACACAAAATTGATAATGATGTCGACATTTTTAACGTTGCGTGCACATGTGTACACAAATAACGTCAACTGACGTTGGTCACTATAGTTTTATGTTTATTTTTTCCTGAAACCGGTCGGCATATTATTAGATTGAGAATTCACATACATAGAAATATATATAAAAGAAATAAAGTCATGAGCGAGAAATTATTCCCCTATACGTGTACACATGACATAAATGATGCATGAGATATTTTCAAAACGTAAAAGTATCACAAATGTACATCAAAACTATCCAAATCAGTTCATTTTTCATGATTTATTTTTATTTTATTTTTTGTATGTGTGCAAAAATGCCCGTCTGTTTGAAATGCTAAGGTAATTGAATGAGATAGTTATATTTCATATGTCTTAGTAAACAATCGTAAGCAAACTTATGATTAATATAGTGTCAAACTTGCGTAAGGATCAGCAGTACGCCGCCAAAGACCAACATAAAACTTGGGCTCAGTAGGTTACCGTCCACACCTCTCCCGAAACAGACCGTCACTTATGCATTCTTTTTCATGATAAATCACATTATTATTCAAATACTCAAAAGGAAAGGCGGTGCAGAAATGAAAAATTAGCAATTACTTTTTTACATTGATAGTAATTTTGCACATTTTCTGCATTTAAAGCAGCATTGTATTTAAAGCTTTTACAGGAAAGGTAAGTTGCCAAATCATCCCTGATTTCTTCAAAGCAGTAGGTGCAGCCATGTTTGTGTTTTGCCGCATTAAAAACAAGTTCACATGACACCAATTAACCACATTCAATATTGGAATCACGGCGAATCATGTCTCTCAAATATTTCTAAGTAGGCTTAACGATATTTTCTATGGATCGCAAGGAAAATATACTTGAACAAGATATGTAGAAAAAATACAGTTCAAAATTACATCAATCAAATAAAGACAACAATTATCCATAAGCGACAGTTTACAGATTATCAAATAACTAGAAATGTGTCGTCACGCCACGGATGCCCCCGCATGCAGTCAAACTTTCAGATGTTATAATATTAAGTTTCAATTTTGCTTCAAGAAACTATTTTTTTCATTTTAAGTTCACGGCCCTTAAAACTATTCAATGTTAATACAAACCATTTATTAATTTTTTATACAAAGTTCAAGGCACTGACACTATTCAGTTTTCACATTTTTTAATTTGTATATTGCATATTTGTAGCCAAAATAATTACTACAAACATTTCCAAGTATGAGTGCTGTAACTCAAAATTCAAAATTTGTCCAACATTCAAGAGAGATAACTATGTCCAAAATCCTTGGTCCATGACCAAACTCGAACTTGAACTGCTTATTCATATATCAAATTTGAGTTGAATGTGTACAACCATTGAAGAGATAATGAACGGAAACTAAAAATTTCTGATTTGTTTTAAACTTCAAGAGGGATTATTCTGTCAGCTATCATCTAACCTTGACCAAATTTAATCATGACCAATGTATTTTTCTGACTTATCCATATGTTAAATTTGACTTAAATATGTACTATTGTTAGGGAAATAATGAACGGAAATTAAAAATTTCCTTTTTTCAAAGTTAAAGAGACATGACTCTGCCAGAAATCTTCGAACCATGACCTTATTCGCACTTGACCTGCGCATTCCTTTGACATATTCATATGTCGAATTTGAGTTGAATGAGTTATACTGTTGGGAAGATAATGAACGACAACTGGAAATTTCACAATATTTCCAAAGTGAAAGGAGTATAACACTGCAAAAACTCATAAAACCATGACCAATTCGAACTTGACCTGCGCATTGCTTTGACGTAACCATTATGTCAAAATTGAGTTGAACGTTTAATACCGTTGAGGAGATAATGAACCGAAACTAAAGATTTTACATTATTTTCAAAGTGAAAGGGTCATAACTCTGCCAAAAATCATCGGATCATGACCAAATTCTAACTTGACCTGCGCATTCCTTTGGCATATCTATATGTCAAATTTGACTTGAATGTGTAATACTATTGGGGAAATAATGAACGAAACTGAAAATTTCACATTATTTTTAAAGTGAAAGGGGCATAACTCTGCCAAAAATCATCGAACTATGACCAAATTCAAACTTGACCTTCACATTCCATTGACATATCCATATGCCAAATTTGAGTTGATTGTGTTTAATTTTTGAGCATAATGAACGGAAACTGAAAATTTCACCAAGGGGCATAACTTTGTCAAAAATCATATTCGAACTTGACCTGTACTTTATCATGATATATCCATATGTAAAATTTGAGTTGAATGTGTTTAACTGTTTCTAAGACAATGAGCAGAAACTGATGATGACGGAAGGACGAAAAGGGTAACATTATATGCCCCAGCCATTTTATGGCGGATGCATAAAAAGACCAATGCATTAACGAACAATGAATGACCTGTTGTTTATGAACGGCTGTTAAAATTCGACAAAAACAGTTTTATGTCTATGTCAGCTTCGATTAAAAAATGTGTGGATGTAGCTTTTTTGTTTGTACAGGAAATGAGCGACTTTTTTGAAAGTCAGCTGTTCACCTTTCGGTAAAAATTAATATTAACATATTAGGTCCTGCAATTTCGATTGAGATTTGCGGTATTAACAGTCATGGTGTTTAACAGTTGTAACCTTATAATTCATATTGTTGGACATAATTTGTTTCCACGAATTGGGGTCATATTAAACATACAAAATCGACAATGGATTGTCCATTTATATTCTTAATTTTGTAAATACAATGACGCCACCCCTGAATTATACCACATGTTTCGCAAAGAGAAATAAATAACAATAAATGGAGATCTTGTGCAATGTTGTTGATGACAATTCGTGAAAAGGGTTATAGCGGGATATATGTTTCCGGCTAATTGAGTTAGCTGAAAATTACATGACTGACACTTTTGTCCCGAAAATTAATATCAAAGTTTAAGAATTGTTGTAACAAAATCAATACATGTTGAGGGCTTTCATTTCATTTTACTAGACATACAAACAAATTTAATAAACCAGGAATAATGTTGGCTGCGTTATCCTTTGTTGTTTCTGCACATTAATAAGTTATTGTCCTCACAGCTGAAGAAACTATCTGATAAAATTTTCGCAATATCTTAAGTTTGAATATTTTCCACTTCAATGTTTTTATCTATCAAAATAATGGAAATTAATTGTTTCATGTGTACAGATGTGTGAATATTCAGAGGATATTTTTTATCGTTTGAATCAAATATAGAATATATTTTCATGAAACGTGGTGAAATTCCATACATTTTCACGAGCCGGAAAGGGGAGTGAAATAATATAATTTAATAGAAGTTTTATCATGTTTAGTGCAGTTGCAATTGTTCAGCCAGCAGTAATGAATAGATAACGCGGTTCGAATTCAATACACAATTATTCACAGAGTCATAACTGTTTCGAAAAGAAAAAAATGCATAATTAGATAACTTCCGATGATGAAATGAATAGCTGAAGATAGTCATTACAAAAGATAAACATCTAAGAAAGTAGTCCTAAAAATAAATATAAGTTTTGACTACGCACACGTTCATTTTTATGGATTTTTAGTATTTCTTTTTCACAAATAAGAAATATATTAGGCTGATATGGCACCACATGTCATGGGTAAAATTAATTAAAAATGTTTTTATAAAAGTATTGTATCGAGACAATGCATTCTTTATATAATATAAACTTCTTAACTTCCAATACTTTAAATATGTTAAGTCAAATTGAGCTCTTAAATTTGGAGATTTATAATTCATAAAGATTGATATTGTTGATATCATAGACATTTTCCCATTAATTATTGAATATTCGGATTTTTGTTTTTACATTCTTAGAATTCATTCTTTATTTGTCAACTGAAAGCAAGAAAATTAAAACACAAGTTTGTGTGTGCTTTTACTAAGAGACATCCTTACTAAACAGTAATGTTATTAAACAAAAGATTAATTTCCTACAATTAATCTTACAAATGACTGAACTATTAAGAATAGTACATGTAGTAAGATATAAGCAGTGTAAAACATGTCTTCTTTTTTAAACTTTCCAGCAAAAGAGAGCATATAAATTTAACTTAGTAAGTAAGTGTAGATATCAAATAGAAATTAACTTGCACCTATTTTCTGGCTTAGTGTAATTAACAAAGAAAACGAACAATGCAAAAACACAATAGGCAGCAGTAGTAAAGGGGACTCTTTAAAGACCACCAATGCACACTTGCGGCGGCATTATTGGAATATATATGGAGAATGACACATCGTACTTTTGTCAAAATTTCATCATTATTTCATATCTAAATTTCCGGAAGTATTAGATTTTATATTAAAAATGACATTACGATTGTATTTAAAGATTATTATTTCAGTACACGGAACTGATTTATTTTACCCTTATTTCAAATTCTTTTTTAAGAATGACATTATTATGTTATAAAAAAAGAAAATCCCGTATAACCGGCATTACCGAGAAATTAAAAGATGTACATACTATTATATCATTATATCATATATTGTTATCCATATATTAATCGAATCAATATGAAATAACGAACATTATTGATGCAAAAATAACTATTTAAAACGATTTTTTTTAATTCCATTTTACATTAAACAACGTTTAAAATAGATTTATTTTAATCGAAAATATTACTTTTATCGGCCATGATTCCTGTTAGATGACCTGCGACAAAATGACTACAATTATAAATGTCACGAGGGTAATATACTGTCATGTATAATCTATTGTTTGTATGTATGTCTTACATGTCTTATATATTGTGTCCTTATATATTTTTTGTACGTTTGTCATTTTGTTATATCATATATGTACATGTCCTATATATTTGCCCTATTCATTCTCCCATATTTTTCTCATTTACATTCATCCTTTTCATTCATTGCAGCATGTAACACTTAATGTCATTCTATACAATTCATAACAACTACTTTCATCTGGACGGGCCTCTTAACATTTACTCACCCGGATTGGATGGCACGCAACGCACATTGAATATACTTCCATTGGTTTGCGCCACGAAGTAGCTGTGTGCTTTTTCTTTCCACCTTTGTAAATTATTTTATTTGTTTCCGTGCCATTACAGGCCGAAACAGTTCCTCCTTTATTAGGAAAGAGGAACCCTACGACATAAATATTTCATATGTTTTATTGAACCCAGAAAGTTTAGTTATTTCCATAAATAGTAACAAAATGTGACGTTTTAAACCTATTTATCGCATAATTATTATTTACACGGACCAACAGTTTCGATTTTATTGGTGTTTTCTAAATTTACACCTTTCACAAAATTACAGAAAGTTAAATTTCTATTTTTTATTTCTTTACACTTATAAAGTCCCATTAGAAAACCAATAGTTTGTAACCATTAAAAACTATGATTTTCTTCAGGGTTTAAAACATAACCGAATGGGTGCATGAGAGTTCTAATAAAATTCCTTAAACAAATATGGTAATGTATATTTATGGAAGAATACCGCTAATGGGCACTATAAAGATTTGTATAAAATTGACAACATAGGACAGTTATATGCCTTAAAGGTCACCTGCATAAAAATTTAAACAAAATTTACCGTGTGGTTTATGAGCGTTGGACATTTTTGCCATCAGAAGGGCTCTTTTTCAGAAATGAGGAAATAATCTTTAATATCGCTTTTATGCAAAAATGACATTCAGGTAACAAATTACACGAACAAAATGATTGTGTCTAGGCAAAAAGTTTTAATATGTATAAAAATGTTGCCCTACTCCACCCACTTTAAACATTCATTTGACCATTTACCTATGTTAAAAGCCTTATTCAAAATATCCCTGCAATTTAAAACAATGAGGTGCTGTTTTCAAAATTTGCATTTTTTTTTCAAAAGTTGATTTTGCAACATATAAAATACTTTTACCGTGTAGTCTTTATTTTATTACACTTTGAAAACATCTTGTGTACTATTTACTATTAAATTTGAAATTATTTAGCAAATAAACATCTACAATATTTATATTATTAAAATCAAACACTTTTTTCTTTCCATCTAAGAGATACATAAATAATGTTAAAAAGAAAAATAAATGACACAAAATGTTGTCCCTTCTGGGGTTTGAACCCACGCCCCTCGGTTTCAATGCAGTTGAAAGTGATTTACTCTTTAAAGTGTAGGTAATGTTTTAGTGTCGGTCTACTGATCAGTACGTTTCGTTTTACTTCAGTGTATCCATAAAACGATTATGTAATTTCCTTAATGATATGAATACTTAATTCTTTAATAAGAACTTTTCTGTCTTTAATGACGCATAGTTTTTTCGGCATAACTTGACAAAAAATATTTTACATTCTATTAATTAATAATTACATCCTTATTTTTAAAGTTTTGATATCAAATTGATAATATTTTCAATAGTGTAGCTAATTTGTTCTCCCGAGAGTAAAAATCGTTCTACGAACAATCCACTGTTATGTATCATTAGTTTTAATACTATAATTTCTTTTTGAATAAGCGTTCTTGTATAATTGTTAATTAGCTATATTTCAGCGTCTTTAAATTAATGAGAACCTGTAACGGATGTACAAAGCCACAAGATTATGTTGTGTAGGATTATGTTGCTAGCGTGACTTTAACCTGTAGCGGTAAGGGGCCAGTGGTAAAAAAGCATATACGGTACCTCTTTTGAAAGAATAGATATTAATATAAAACAGATATTCCTAACTTGGTTATACAATATGATACAACTTACATTTTAGTATCGACACAGTCAGCAAGGGTGAGAATCCAAGCGTCAGACATTTGTACACCAGCACAAACCTCATCATTCCCAAGTTTTATATACACTATCAATTTTTCTATTGACCTCAAAGTGTTGGCTCTCTCACTAAGTAGCTTCTGCGCACCTATGTTGTCCACTTGCCCTTTTGTTAGTCAGCACATGAAAAATACGTGACAATGTAAATTAAATAAATGATTCGCTATAAAAAATAACAGTTTCTTTCAATTTACTGATCACTATCAATTAGAAAGTTAACCCTAAATGAAAAGAATGAAATAGTTGTTCTCAAATATTACAATTTCGCTGAGTTAAAATACTTACATAGCATGACAAGAAAAAATATTTTCAAGACATCCATTGTGTATATGCACCTATACAGTCAAACGGATAAATGAAAATTATACAGATATCGGAGTATTTGCTTCTATAGAAAAATTCGAAACAGCCGTAGGAAATAAAAAACAATTATTTAATTACGTTTTAATTTATTTAACTATCCTTACGGTAATTGCCAATAAATGTGGGATTGTGGGGATTGTGTAAGAACATACATGTAATTTAATTTCTAAAAGTAAAGTTTAAAGATAATTGTTAGCTTTGTAAACTCTGTGCTCAGCCTGACACATCAAAATTAGGAGCGAAAAATCAAAATATAAAACTGCAGTTCCATATGAGTGAAAGATTAGTGATTATAAAAGAATATATGTATGAAAGTCGTTAGTACATGTTTCGTTTACTTTTTTCATGTAACGATTCGCCTTTGTCATGCTTTCCATGTGTTTGTGTAAAAACATTTGGCTGTTCTGCTTTGACATGAAATTAAGAAATTTAGCTTAAGTCATTTTATAAACCTAAATACAAGAAATCATATATTGGCAATATTGATCCATTTTAAAAAGCTCTTAAATTGTTGGCAAATGGTCAAAACGACGTTTAAAACCTATGGTGGCTGATTTGTGCCATTCATGTTTTCTCTCCGCGACCCCACCGAGCAATAACTCAAAAAATACTAAGTTAAAATGGCGGGGGCGCGGAGCGAAAAGTCGCTTGTTAGCGGGGGCGCGGGGCGAAGTTTAATAAGGAAACTTCACCCCGTGGGGAAGCGGAGCGAGATGTAAGGAATAAAACGGTGGGGTCGCAAAGAAAAAAACGCTAAATATATTCTCGGGGCGTGTTACCGCTTCCCCCCCCCCACTCGCCGTTTTATTTCTTAAATCTCGCTCCCCGTCCCCCGCGGAGCAAAGTTTTATTTATCTAACTTCTTCCTGCGTCATTGCTTATTAGCGTGTTTTCTTCCTGCGGTTTCGCACTTTTAACTTGTTAATTCGAGACTTTTCGCTTGGCGGGGCCGCAGGCGAAAATACGAATGGTAGAAAACCTGACGAAGTATTTGATAAAGCTATAGTCTGAAGTCACTTCGAGTTATAAAAAGCTGAGAGAGTATGTCAAGAATATCTGATCTATTTAAATTTAAAGCCACTAATATATGTTAATGTTTGAATAATGATCAGTATCTTCTCACGTAACACTTGTTGGATTAAATCCAGTTAATTTAAATTACAAACAACCACGAATACATGTATATGTATATAGTTTGATTCGCGATAAAAATATTTTCGAGTAAACAACAGTTATAAAGGTCTAACGCCAAACCAGAGGGGTACTGATATACATGTATAATAAATATAATAAACGACAATAAAGCTATTTATAACAATACTATTTTTCGAGAAAAAGAACGAGAAAAAAACGCGAATAAAATGAGATCCTTTTTTAGAGACTTGGAGGGCGGAAACAGGGAATACTTATAGCTCCGTAATATTTATAAAAATAATAAAAATAACAATAATTCGTAAGTAATTAAAAATGACAGATTCGATGCAAAATAAAAGTGAGGCAATAATTATACAAAAGTTAGTTTTGTTTGTACACGCTGTGGTTCATGGTGGGGTTATTCATCATAATATAAGCGCTTCAAGCTAAGGTACACAGATTGTTATCAGTATACACAATTTTCAATTTAATTATGAGCATTTTGCTGTCTTATAATTTGTAGAGTTTTCCGTTTGTGGGATTTACTTAATGATGTTATCATAAACCTGCTATTTTGTTTTAATTAAACGAGAGATAAACCTCAATTACATCGCTTTTATCATTCATCATATCTGTCTCTTTAACTTTTAAATTATTAAAAAACAACAATGACAATTAATATTATTACCCCTCACTTTTTTTTCGTAATGTTAAATTCCCATAGGCCTCTGGGAGTTATTCTTACTGTTAATGCAAGTGTACCACGTGACTATGAATTTTGTACTGTTACATAGGTAACAGTATTTTTTAACAGTATAAAATCTGGTCACGTGGTATATTTTCTAAATAAAATGAAATAAAATGGCCGCCATTTTTTCTCTCGATTCGTTCTTATTTTCGACGATAGGGCATCGCCGAAGTAACTATTACTCTGATAAAATTTAGTTCTTTGCAACCTAGAGTCCCTTTCGCGTATTAAATATCTTTTTGTTGAATAGTTAACAGGAAACATCCGTTATCAACGGAAGTAATTGTAATGTAAATAATTTTTTGTCAAACTGGAACATGCAGACAATTAAAGCATGCAACAAGGGATAATTTAACAATTTTAACAAGTGAAGCGTTACAGATAGAGTTGGTGGACAGACATCTGTAGGATATCATCGTTATTTTCTAAAAGCACTTTGTCAAAAACCATGCGAAGAATATTCTGGATGCAGAAGGATCAGATTTCACAGATCATAACCTTGTAAATGGGTTAGTGTTTTGTTTTCTGAATAAAACACAACTTATTTTATGTTTATGACTGGTAGATATCATCACTTGCCTAAAGAATAAAGGAAAAACAGCTTCTCAAGTAGGCCTGCAGTGCACTTAAAACTTGCAATGTAAGGACAGTTTAGTTATTGCTTCTTTTGTCTTATTTTTGTTACAGTAAGATTTAGTTGAGAAATTCAGATCATCACAATATATGTTCGGGGTAATAAAATAAATAACACATGGGTTTGTGGGTAACAGTAAAAATATCATCCCTCGTATAAATACTGTTACACTCAGCTACGCCTCGGGTAACAGTATTTTCCTCGGGATGATATTTTTACTGTTACCCACAAACCCATGTGTTATTTATATAATAATAATATATTTGAACTTTACTTTTTGTATACATTGCTTGCAATGTATACAGAGTTATAGCTGCATTTCAGAAACCAATAGGGTCGGCTGTTTTGCTGAACAACGTCCACTTTCGGATGAAACCTCGATTAAAGTAGGTCCTCATTTTGCAGGATTGTCACATTTAGATATCTTTTTTTGCATAGTTGTCAATAAGCTTTGAAAGTCCAAAACTATGCACTTTCAGTTTAAGAAACATTTTTAAAAGCCAAAAATATGAATTTTACTATTTCATTGATAAAAGCTTTGTGTACACCTATACGCTTCAAACTTCGTATCCACGCATGCGCGTGCAAGAATGAATGAATTACGAAAGACCCTGTATAAAATATGTCCAACATCCAAAATAAATATTAAATCAAACAAGTAAACCTTATTAACTCTTAAATTTACACTTACATATGTTTTCTATATCAAACTGTTTTACAAAACGAGCTTATACAGATATATGTCTTATTTAGTGGTATGTAACATTGTAAGCGACTGTATGAATTGAATAACAGTTAACGTTCTGAAAACGTATTGTCATATAATTGCATATAATACTTACTTACTTACTTAATCCTCTTCGCTCCAGGTGGAGCATAAGGCACCAACAAATCTCCTCCAGCCATCCCTGTCCTGAGCTAACCAGTTCAGCTCGTTCCAGGTCTTGCCTGCTGCCTTCATCTCTTCTTCGATGGTTCTCCTCCAGGTGCCTAGTGGACGACCTCTCTTCCTCTGGCCTTGTGGTGTCCATCTCAGTACTTTGTGAGGATGTCTCTGCTTGTTCATCCTCAGAACATGACCCAGCCATCTCCATCGTCTGGACTTGACCTCTTGAACAATGTTGGTGATCCCGGAGCGTCTGTTGACCTCTACGTTAGTGACATGTTGTTGCCAGCGGATCTTGAGAATGCGGCGTAGACAGCGACTCTCGAAGCCTCTTAGCCTACTCTCAACCTTGGTGTTGGTTCTCCAGGTCTCAGACGCGTACAGAAGGACTGAGCGGACATTGGATGTGTAGATCTTCAGTTTTGTTTTGGTATGCAGGGCTGTAGACTTCCATATGTTCTGTAGTCTCTTGAATGCCTGGGCTGCAAGTCCAATCCTGGTTGAGATCTCTTTCTCAATGTTACTATCAGCTGAGATGTAACTCCCAAGGTACTTGAAGTCTTTCACCTCTTCCAACTCAGTGTTGTTGATGCTGATTTTCTGGCTGCTTTTGGTCTTCACCTTCATCAGCTTTGTTTTCCCAGCGTGTATTTTAAGTCCTACACCTTTGGCAGTTTTGCTGACACGATCTGTCTTCTCCTGCATATCATTTTGTACATGGGAGATCAATGCGATGTCGTCAGCAAAATCACAGTCTTCCAAGCGGGCAGTCAGTCCCCATACTAGACCTCTGTGTCTATCTTCAGTGGCTTTCCGCATCACCCAGTCAATTACAACAAGGAACAGCGTTGGTGAAATAACACAGCCTTGGCGTACACCAGTTTTTACGTGGAACCATTCGCTTTGCTGTCCATCATGACGTACACAGCACTGGTTGTTGGCGTGCATGTCCTTAAGGATGTTGACAACTTTTGGCGGAAATCCATATGCTAGGAGTATCTTCCACAATGATGGGTGGTGTATGCTGTCGAACGCCTTTTCATAATCTATGTAATTGATGTATAATGAACAGTTCCATTCAAGGGACTGCTCCACTATTGTCCGAAGAATGAAGATCTGGTCTGTGCAGCTTCTTCCGCTCCGAAACCCTGCTTGCTCCTCTCTGAGGACTCTCTCAATAGACTGCTTCATCCTTGATAGAAGAACTCTGCAGAATATCTTTCCAGGAACGGATAACAAGTTGATACCCCTCCAGTTGCCGCACTGAGTCAGGTCTCCCTTCTTCGGCAGTTTCACGATGACACCCTTCTTCCATGAGTCAGGGACTCTTTCTTCTTCCCAAACCTTGTTGAATAGTTCCACAAGGTGCTATGCACTCTCTCGGGGGTCAGCTTTCAACATGTCTGAAGTGATTTTGTCTTCCCCGGGAGCTTTGTTTCCTTTCGTCTGCTTGATGGCCTCTATGATTTCGTGCTGGGTGATACTGCCACGCTTCATCTCTATATGGAATCCCATGTCTTCAACAGCAGCTTCCTCCTCCGGGTCTGGCCTGTTAAGGATTTCTTCGAAGTGCTCAGCCCATCTTTCTAGTTGTTCTTCATTCTTCGTTAGAGCATTTCCATTCTTATCTTTCACAATGGTGGAACTGTTGGTAAATCCTCCAGTAAGGGTCTTTGTGATTTTGTAGACTGTTCTGGAGTCACCCTTTTCTGCAGCATGCTGGGCTTCCACTGCTAGACTGTTAGTGTAGTCTCTTTTGTCCTGTCTTGCACTCTTCTTAACAGCTTTGTTCTTCTCAGAGTAAGCTTCTGCTGCCCTTGATCTCTCTTCGGGACTTCCTGTTAGCATCTGTTGCTTAATGACCTTCCTCTCCCTTATAAGGTTCCAAGTGTCAGTGGAGATCCATTCTTTTCTGTCTCGTTTCTTGTAGCCTAGAACCTCCTGGCTGGTATCCAGATAGATGTTTTGGATCTTTGTGCATAGGGAGTTGATGTCATCCGCTGGCGTGCTTTCTAGGATGTCAAATCGGTTTTTCAGTGTCAAGTTGAACTGGGTTTTCACATTCAGGTCCTTAAGTTTGTTGGAGTCAAATAGCTGTTGCTTATTCTTTTTTCCGCTACTCCTCAATTTCAGTTGTAGCTTACATAGCACAAGGTTGTGGTCACTGCCTGCGTCTGCACCCCTGATGGCTCTTACATCTGTCATGGATCTTCTCCATTTCCTGCTGATGGCGATATGGTCAATCTGGTTGCTGGTCCTGCCATCTGGCGAAAGCCAGGTTGACTTGTGTATGTCCTTATGTTGGAACACTGTACCTCTAATAACCAGTCCATTTTCCAGGCATAAGTCAGAAAAACGTCGACCATTGTCATTTCGGTCGCCAAGTCCTTCACAACCCATGCAGGTTTCATATCCGATGTTATCAGCACCAACCTTGGCATTAAAGTCCCCCATCACAATGAGAATATCATGCTGTGGTGTTTTGTCTATTTGATCTTGTAAGTTGGTATAGAAGTTGTTCTTGACTTCATCAGAATCACGTTCAGTTGGGGCATAACATTGGATGACAGTTGTTTTTACAAACTTGGAGTAGAACCGTGCTCGTATCAGGCGGCTGTTTATTGGTTCCCATTCCAGCATACTTTTCTTCGCTTCTTTGTTTAGTATCAGACCCACTCCCTCCTGGTGTAAACCATCCACACGACCAGAATAGCAAATTGTCTCTCCAGAGTTGATTGTTATCATACCCGAGTCAGTCCATCTCATTTCACTTACACCGAGGATACATATTCCGTACCGTTGCATTTCTGCTACCACCTGGGCACACTTTCCTGTCTCGTACATGGTACGAACGTTCCATGCCGCTAACTTGAGCAGCTGTTTGGGTGATGCTAAGGACGTTGTCGGGGCAGACGTTTCCTTTCGGCTTTGACTCCTGCTCGTCATATGAGATGCTAGTGTCTCTGCCCTCAGCGTTTCACCCAGGTGTTGATAGTTTTCTGAAGTTGTTGGTGTTTCTGTAGCGAGATATTTTTTACGTGGCGAGTTGCTAGCCCAGCGCACAACCCTCCTCCTTTCTCGTCTAGGGCTTGGGACCTAGCAACGGCGGAGTTAATTGCATATAATAGAACCCTATTAACACGGTGGCATCGGAGGATTGTGCAATTATTTGTTGCACACCTGCAGTGTTAAGTATTTCTGCCACTTAAGTGAAATATATCGCCCGAAAGCCATTTTCGGGAAGGGGAAGATTCGTACTCAATACTATTCGAACTAAGGATTCGTACTCAATATTCGAACTTAGCCTTCGTAATCGGTATTATTCGAACTGACAATCATGGCAGATACGTTAAGATCCCATGGACATTTAGATGTTGAAAATGGTAACATATCACATAACTTTATCAAATCGAAGCGCCGATACTGTAAGGAAATATCCTATTACACTGTGCTGGACATAAAGTTATAGAGATTTATGATCAATTTACTGCAGAACATAAACTGAAAGTGGACAAAGTATTTGACAAGATAGAAAGGTATTGCAATCCAAGAAAAAATGAAGTGCTAGAATCACACAGATTTGGGGTAACAAATCCAGATGAATATACATCATTTGACGGTTTTCGTACAGAGTTTTAAAAGCATGTTGAGTTTTGTAAATTTGATACACAGAAAGAAAGAATGCTTAGTTAGAGATAAAATTGTGTTTAGCAGCTACGGAAAACAACAAGAACTGCTGTTAAGAGAAGAAAATCTTGGCTTTCAAAAGGCAATCAAAATATGCCGAGCTTACAAACAATCGAATAAGCATGTGAAAGAAGTTCGCAATACAAATGATCAACCAATCCACAAAGTTGAGAAGAAATATTCATCTTATTCTCATTCAGGCACCCGTCCAACACAACAGTTGAATCGTCCTAGTCAACCGCGTCAGTAAAAACCACCAGTAGTAAAGAAACAACAACGTCCTCATCAGAATCGATCACAATTTTAATATTGTGGATACAATCACGATTTTAGAAAAGAGAACTGTCCGGCATTGGGTAAATTATGTGAGGGATGTGACGGCAGACATTTCATAGAACAGTTGTAAGAAAATACACAAAATTGAAATTAAATCATCAAGTGAAAATGAATTTTGGTTACAATGTGTCGAAATAGGCCAAAAATCCAAAATAAAAGCAAACATGATTACAAGTTGATTTTCAAATTGATACAGGTGCAAAGATCAATACAATCAACAGAAAATATGTAAAGAAAAGTCAAAGAAAGAAAATTTTCTGTAAACCTATAATGTGGAAAATGTCAACAGTAAGTTCACATGGTGAAGTATACTGACTAACAATAATCAAGGTGGTATCACAGCTTTGAATGTATTACCTACTGCAAATCAGTATATCTACGTGTTAAAACAATTGAATACATTGAATTTATATCTAGAAAAATGCTTATCTGTAAATGTATATATGCAGACAGTCACTTCCAATTCTACATGTATTCTTATTTACATATTAATATATATTGAAATGTCTCAGCATGTAAGGGACTCGAACACGTAGCTAACTCTCGGAATACCATTTTTCCATCTGACCTATCCGGCTTGTTACACATAATTATCTCCCCTAAATAGTAAACAGTTTTATTTATGCATGTACATATCTTTGGACAGATAAGAAAATAATATGGCCTTGGTACACAGGACCTCGAAATTCTATCCAAAACAGAAAAAATAACGATTTAAAAAAATCCCCTATATATACTATATACTATATATACTATATATGTTTTTATAGTTTATATAGGGGATTTTTTTAAATCGTTATTTTCTGTTTTGGATAGAATTTCGGGGTCCTGTGCTTGGTATTTATTTGTTTCGCAAGGCAAAAACACAAAAATACAACAAATTATTAACCACTTTGTCATACTTTCCTGTTTTCGCCTGACACATAGCTAACATTTTAGTATTTTGCCTGGCGGAATGGCTCTTTCCGAAACCTGGTGGTTCAGACCCATGTGCCTACATTAAAAAAATAAGAAGGGAGTTGTCCTTTACAAAATATAGACACATATTAGAATTAATAAAATATGAATTCAGTATTTGATATTTCTGAGACCTGATATTTTTTCTAGACCTTTTCTTCCCATTATTTAAGGACCTGTATAATGGTGTTGTAGTTAAGATTTATGTTTGCTGCCCTGTGTGTGTAAAATTCCATCATAGGCCCTGTCACCACTAGAAATGTACACCAATTTAACCTCAGGTCTGTCACAAGTTAAGAAATATATTTTGAAATATATTATTTACAATCAAATCACTCAGTCAGGTTGAGCCACCCTTAACATTTTTTTCATAACTCTTTAGACTATTGGTATATATAGGTAAAATTATTAGCCATAAATGAGCTTATGATTGCACGGGCAGTCAAATTAAAGCCATTAGTAAGAGAAGGATTGACCTGGGATAACCTCAGTGAAGAGTGAACATGACAACACCTACAGGTACATTTGGTGTTTATGATCAGTTTTAGCACAAATAGTAATTTAATTTCCCCTGATACCACATATACAAAAAAAGTATATGAATTTATTTAGAGTCCTGAAGATCCCTGAAAAACCAGGTTTTACTGAATAATTATAAAAATCCTTGCCAAGGTACATAAAGCCAGTCAAAAAAATATTTCTATCCATATTCATCATTCCTGTACCTCTATACATTTGATGAATTTCTCCAAGTGGTAAATTTCTCATCTTATTATGTTCTGTTTGTTAATATAAAAGAAAATTTCTTACGTTTATATACAGCTAGAATAGTCTGTAATGAATAAGATAGACAGATAAGAACAAATTATTTAGTAAGCATGAGTTACATCCCTTCAAATGGAGAAAAAGATGAAATCCATAAGAAATTGCAATGCCTGACAGACAGCAAAATTATAAAATTATGCAGGCTCAGTTTGATTAGGCCCATTAGGAGGTAGTGGTAGTCAAAAATTAAATGATATCATTTTCAAGGGATGTTTCTGTTAATAATGGGTCATTATCAATGAATGTTTATTTGACTTCTATGCTCATGTATAATAGATTATTGACATTGCAAGCTACATGTAGATAGCTCAGCTGAGTGAGTCAGTAAAGCCCACATACATGTATAATATTCTGATTCACACTAAAGTTACCCATTCTTATCTCCCCATGAATGACAATGCCCCTTTCTGTGTAGGTTGTAATGAAAATTTTACTGTCAAGCATTTTCTTCTGGAATGTCATAATTTTTCACAGACCCGTAACAGATTTTATAATGTAAACTCACTCAAAGAACTCTTTAATACAATTCCATCAAAAAACATCATCGGTTATTTGAAAGAGATAAACTTGTATTCAAGGAACTGATTGGCTCTTTTTTATTATCATTTACAAAGTTTTACATAATATTTTAAGCATATTAAAGCATTTGGCACGATATGGCCATTTATGTGTTGACGTGCCGTAAAATCCAAACAAACAAAATCAGGTTTGATTCAGGTCAAACTGCACATTTTTTCTCACCCTGTGACATTTTCACCCTGTTACTTTTAGGGTCCAATATACAATTTAAGTCTATCATGGTACATAACTCAATCATATGTCAATTCACTTTGTTACTTAAGAGTTCTAATGAATAAGGACAAATTTCAATATGCTGGGGATTATGTCAATGTATAGAACAATGAGACTGAAAATGTTTAAGCTGTAAAGCTGCTGTATCATTGGTATTCCAAGGGTTCTGGGGTTTTTCTGGTAGTGCTGAGGTATGGTATTTTAAGTGTATCTGGTTTAAGTTTTAGTGAGGCTGCATTTTATTTTCTCACTCTTTGATATAATTGATAAATATTTTCAGCTCATTATTGGCTGGACTGCATAAATTAATTATTTATTTGTATTAAATCAATATTGTTAAATATTTGATTATTGTCTATACATGTATATGTGACTTTATTTTTGATAAGGCATTGTAACAGTACTACTTTTTTAATATGACCTTTTTTGTATAATGGGGAGAAGCCCTTAATTAACTCCTTACCAGTAAGTTTCATTTTGCACGCTAATGATAGCTTGAAAGGATTTAGATTAATAAAATACTACATGAATCATTTTTTCCTATTTGTAATAAAATATTTATGGATTGTCAAAAACCTATATGGAGTTCTCCTCGGTGACATTAAACAGTCACAACTGGCCATACATTTAGGAACTTGCAGACCATGTGACAGGGTGGTCTGTACCAAGACAGACCCAATATCAAGACAGGGTGAACAGGACAGACAGTGATGTTCAGATCCCCCACTCAGAAAGGAAGTACACTAAAGGTACCGGTCTTCAATTACTTCATTTGCTTACTTTGAGTTAAGGTGCCGAAAACAATAGTATTGTATCACAAAAAGCACAGACTGTAATAAAAGTCAATCCAAAAAGATACTTTAAACTGAATTTTAGATTATATAAAAGAAATTAATTAATTCTTTATAGTAAACATAAAAATAAAGATATTGGGTATTAAATTTTGATATGTAGCATATTAACACAAATACAGACCGTTTTATCAAACAATGTATACCTCAGTGCTTGCAGCGCTTTGATTATTTATATCGGTTGTTTTTTCTTTCATGTACCACTTGTTAACATTCATCATTTGACCCTGGGTCGATTTTCGCCCACTTTACCTGGAGCTGAAAGCCAGGATTGCTTGCTCAAGCCTGTCTATGATGGTTTTGTTAAATTATTTTTAAAAGTAATTTATATTATCACTTAAGACTTCTCCTCCAGGTGATGCTTTAATAATTATTGTACATGTATAATGGAAGTAGACCAATCTACCTTCCCATAACTAAATTTAAAATTTAAGTATTGTTTTGATTCTCAATTTTTTTTTAACTCGCCTGTCACAAAGTGAGCTTTTGTGACACCGTGTTGTCTGTCGCCCGTCGTTCGTCAGTCTGTCCGTCCGTGCTTTAACCTTTTCATTCAAATGACTTCTCCGCCAAATTTAATGAAACTTGGCAGGCATATTCATTGGATGAAGCTCTACTAAGGCTTTGAAAGAATTTAATTCCTTGAAGAACACTGGTTG